ATGATATTCCCTGTGCTGTGCCTTTTATTCCTAAGACCTGTTCCTTCCATACCTGGAGCCTGTGTCTCCCACTCCCCTCACCCACTGTGCCCATCCTCCCAACCTCCTTCTCTCTGGCAGTCATCAGTGAGTTCTCTGTATTTATAGGTCTGATTCTGCTGTTTGCTTGTCTGTTTATTCATTTGCTTTGTTTTGTAAGTTCCATATATGAGTGAGATCACGTGGTACTTGTCTTTGTCAGTCTGATTTCGTTCACTTAGCGGACACACTGCCCTGTTTGTCCATCCATGTTGTCACAAGTGGCAAGATCTCATCCTTTTTGTGGCTGCATAATATTCTAGTGTGTGTGTATATACCACACATCTTTCTTACCCATTTGCCTGGGGGGGTGGGGGGATTGGGAGGGACACAGGTTGTATCCCTGTGGCTTTTGAAACAACCTAACTCACTGAACATCATCTGGGATGAGGGCGCCCCCTGGTGTCTGGGCCCCTGTCCAGGTGCTGGACCTGAAGGAGACCTTAAGGAGGGCCTGGCTGAGGAGGAGAAAGGCAGCTGGGTCTTCTCTCCTTAGTCTTGTGGCGCCCGTGGGGTGGAAGGTAAGGGGCCATCCCCCACTGCTCTGCTCTTGGGTGGGTTCTCACTGAGAAGCCTGAGTGGGGTCTGGACTGTAAGTCAGGTAGATATGTCTGAGCAGAAGCCTGGGCCTCAGTGGTGAGAGGAAAAAGTTTCTGAGCAGCCCTGGACTCCACAGGGGTCAGGCTCAGGGGTGAGGCAGGATTGCAGGAGAAGAGAGCTCAGGAGCCCGTGCCATTGCTGAGGTGTCTGCGTCCTTATGCACCTCCTCCAGTCCCGTGATGGTGATACAGGGAAAACCGAAAGGTAGAAACACTTCCTGGGACTTCTATTTGTAAACGTTTCAAAACTCAGTGAAACGAAAATCATTTCTGATGTGGAAATAGCAACTCGATGTCTATACAATGCTCCATAGTGTGGACATGTACACTCACAGTTTGTGAGTGGACCCCACATCAGGCGCTGGGCTGACAATACTGAGTCTGCTAGGGATTCTCTCTCTCTCTCCCTCCCTTTTCCTCTCTCTGCCCCTCCCCTGCTTGTGTACTCTCTCTCCGTCGCTCAATAAAAATAAATAAACCTTAAAAAATAAAGGAATTGGTGTTTTCACTTTTAGGGGGGTAAATACCCAAGAGTGCAATTATTGGATTATATGACGAGTCACTATGTTGTAAACCTGAAAGGAATGGAACAGTGTGTGTAAGCTACACTCAAATACTAAGAAAAAAAAGATAATCAGAAATATTAGAGAACACTTTGGAAAAGAAGACATGAAATGTCACACACATATATTGGTAATAAATAAACACAAAGAAAATGAGAGTGTGGAATATGTAGAGAGACAGGTCCTAGAGGTGTGGTGATGAGAGGATTGCAAAGCAGGGAACTAAGACTCTCCAGGAGCCAAAGCCTCAGTCCGCTGGCTCAAGCC